CCTGCTGATGGTTTCAAGGCTGTGGACAACAACCTCAGCCAAGTTACTGGAAGGCCCTTGTCCCTTCTGAAATCCCAGTGGCTGCCTGCAGGCAACTTGGGTGCTTCTTGGGGAGCTGCAGGATCTGGCATATCCCCTCAAAATGCACCTAATTGCTTTGCAGAGAGCCCCTGCCTGGGAAGTGGGATGCTGAGCTTGATGCCTTCCAGAAGCTTCTGGTTCTGCGGTGTCTGCGGGGAGATAAGATCACCAACGCCATGCAGGACTTTGTGGCGCTGAACCTGGACCGGCACTTCATTGAGCCGCAGGTAACCAGCCAAAATGAAGCACTGGTGGGGACAGGAGTGGAGCAGGAGACCTCAAGCTTGCTGTAAATGGGCTGTCAGCATTTTCCAATTGCAGTGAGGGTGCTCATGCCTCTCTGCAGCCACAGTGTTCTCACAGCTGGGGAAACACTTATGTCTTAGATGGGGGATATTCTGCCACACTGGGAGGGGCAGATAGTGCAGGCGTATGAGGGAAGAGTTTGAATACAAATGGAAAAGTGGTTACTGCCCTGATCCCAATGCTGCTGGAGGAGAGCTGTGCTGTATTGAACATGTTTCTGGCCTTGGCACCCAAGAGCATGCCGGTGCCTTGGAGAGGAGCTGGAGGCCAGGCAGGGTGAGGAGGTGCTGCCCCTGGTGTCACTATGGCCCCTCCACTCTGACCAACTTTCTGTGTTGCAGACCACTGACCTCTCAGTCATCTTCAGGGAGTCCACTGCCACCACCCCCCTGGTGTTCGTGCTGTCCCCAGGCACTGACCCCGCTGCCGACCTCTACAAGTTTGCTGAAGAAATGAAGTTCTCCCAAAAGCTCTCTGCCATTTCTCTAGGCCAAGGCCAGGTAAGCTGCTGGTGCCCACCTGGGGCGCCACTGTCCTGCTGGCACTCCCAGAGATCTCACCTAGCTCCAAGTAGGTCAAACACCTTTGCAGCACAGTGAAAACACCTTCCTGTCCCAGGGCCCTTACTCACCAACCTTCTGCTAGCTGGAGGAGCCAGTTCAGCTGGGGGGCTGCAGCAGTTCCCCCTATAGTGCCCTCTAACTTCCCAAATCCCTCCCCAGTTCTTCCATTCCTCCACTCTCCCACACAGGTTTGCAAAAGCTGTGAAAGGGCCTTTGCTGTGCCATCAGACAGCAAAGATCCAGTTGAGCCATGGGGACAAAGCCAGGCTGTAGCTCTGGAAAGTGGTCCTTCCACCCAGCAGCTGTCTCCCTGTCCAGCTCAGCAGGACGCAACCCGTGATGGACCAGGGTCTCTGAGCTCTTCTCATCTGCCTCCTCAGGGCCCCCGTGCTGAAGCCATGATGCACAGTGCCATGGAGCAGGGCAACTGGGTCTTCTTCCAGAACTGCCACCTGGCCCCCAGCTGGATGCCTTCACTGGAGAGGCTCATTGAGGGTATTGACCCCATCAAGGTGAGCTGTTTTATTGAGCAGCCTGCCCACTCTGAGGGTGACAGGCAGGAGGCTGCAGCCCTGGGAAGAGCCCAGATCTAGTTCAATCCCATCCACAGGTTCCCCATAAAACCAGAGGGTCAGTGCAGGAGCAGCTGCAGTGGCTGTGCCTGCACCCTCTGAGCACTTGCTGCCTACTGAATTTCCAGGTGCATCAGGACTTTCGCCTCTGGCTCACCAGTCTACCAAGCAACCACTTCCCTGTGTCCATCCTGCAGAATGGCTCCAAGATGACCATCGAGCCCCCCCGCGGGGTCAAGGCCAACCTGCTCAAGTCCTACATTAGTTTCAGTGATGACTTCTTGAATTCTTGCCCCAAGGTAAGACCCAAGTTGTGCTTTGGTTTGCTGTTCCCAGCCTGTGCCTGCTCCGATGTATGCTTTCCACCTGGATGTTGGTCCTCTCCAGGCACAGATCTTCCTCTCCACTAGAGCTCTCGCATGCTAGAGAAGGGCTGGTGGTATTTCTCATAAGCCCACATCTACTTTGTGATGAGCCAATTAGAAGTTTCACTTTGAGAAGCAACAGGATTGCAGAGGCCTGGCGTAAGACACTTGCAGCTCTCTTTAAGCAAGGGAGTGGGCCACAGCCTTCCCCAGCACAGCAGCCTGACTGAGGTTCCCACCTCTCCAGGCTCCAGTTTGCACTGCTGAATCGGCACATCTCCTCTGCCAGGTCCTAGCATTTTCTGACCCCATCCAAGGATGCCTCCTGCCAAGCTGAACACCTCTTCTCCCTGCTCCCCTGCCCACAGGTCACAGAGTTTAAATCCTTGTTGCTGTCACTTTGCTTCTTCCATGGGAACATGCTGGAGAGGAGAAAGTTTGGGCCTCTGGGGTTCAACATCCCCTATGAGTTCACAGATGGAGACCTCCGCATCTGCATCAGTCAGCTACAGATGTTCTTGAGCGAATACACAGACATCCCGTACAAGGTAAGTGCGTGAGCTGGCCACTCCTGTGGAGGGAACAGGCTCATGATGCACGTGCAGGTCGGAAAGCCATGGCGGGGTCCCTCACAGGTTCTGAAGTACACAGCTGGGGAGATCAACTATGGCGGCCGTGTGACTGACGACTGGGACAGGCGCTGCATCATGAGTATTTTGGAAGATTTCTACAAGCCTGAGGTTTTAATTCCTGAGTTTGCCTATTCCGAATCGGGGATCTACAAGCAGATCAGCACCTCTTCTGACCTCGATGTAAGTACTCAAGTAACAAATTGCAGCTTATAGATCCAGAGAGATTGTCGTAGCGCAAAGGGGATCTACTCCCTGAAACCCACTACATGTCCAGTTCCTTGGGGGAATATAGGTTTGTAAGAACCTGGGGATCTTCAGCTGCTTTCAGGAAGCTGCACCTGTTTCAAGTAACAGGAGGAAAATCTGGTCCCTGTGCACAGGAGGTGGTAGCAGCTCTATCACCAGAGTTCCCCAGCTGAAAGCTTTTGTACTCTGAATCATTTTGATACCACATACCTGAAGTACCCCAGGAGCCCTGCAGGAGACACAGCAGGAAGCTCACTGCCAAGCTGCCCATTCTCATAGCATGTGTTTGCTTCTAAACAAATGCAATTTAACTCCCCAGCCAGACCGCAAACCATGGCCATGGCCTCCACTCGGCCACCAAACCTGGCTCAGGGGAGCTGCCACCCCATCAGCCTCCCCAGCAGCCCGAGTCCTGCATCAGCAAGCATTGCTCTGGGCATGTACAAGCTGTCCCTAAGTCAAAGCTGTGAGTTGTGTTTCCTGGCTGTGATGGGATAAAGAGCTGTGTAAAAGTCAGATGAATAAATCTCGAACACCAAGACAAGGAATATCTCCCAAATGAGTCTGTGATCTGCTGGGTTTAGCTTATCCAGCAGCCCTGGCTTAGTCATTTCTTTCGGGCCAGGCCCATAGCAGCGCAAAGGGGCACCACAAATTTATCCCTGTGCTCTTGGCCTGACAGCCTGTGCGGATCCCTTTCCAGGGCTACCTCCAGTACATCAAGAGCCTGCCACTCAATGATAGCCCAGAGCTTTTTGGTTTACACGACAATGCCAACATCACCTTTGCTCAGAATGAGACCTTTGCTCTGCTGGGGGCCATTACGCAGCTGCAACCCAGGACCTTCATGCTGGGAGGCCTCAGCAGGGAAGAGGTGGGTGCCCTGATCCTGCCAGTGCTCTGGCACCCAGTGCCCAGTACAGGCAGCAAGTGCAAACACCAGCTCTCAGCAGGTGCCACCCTGTCTGCTGGATGCCAGCCATGACACTGCCATCTGGGCGTTAGCCCCCCCCTTCTCAGCAGCTCTGGCCAGGAGGATGCTCACCTGCTTGCTGCCTTCCTTCCAGCTCGTGGAGGAGACCTCCAAGGACATCCTGGCAAAGCTGCCTGCCCCCATGAACCTGCAGGAGGTGACCCACAAATACCCGCTGCTCTATGAAGAGTCCATGAACACAGTGCTGGTACAGGAAGTGATCAGGTAAAAACCCCTGTGGGACCAGATCCTGGGCCAGCAACCAGCTGGTCCCTTGGGGAACAGCAGAGATGTGCAGGCCCCTGCTCCCACCCACCTTTGAGGAACCTCACTGCTGAGCACAGCAGTGGGATTGGCAGCCACGCTAACAACTGTGGTGTCCCAGCCAGGACCTTCAGCTGATCCCTGTCCTGTGAGGACTGACCAGTATCTCCATCCACTACCATCAGCAATTCAGGGCTGGCAGGGGGGCAGCTATGAGACCCCATTAAAGAGGAACAAGGCTGGGGGTTACATGGAGGAGCTTCAGTCATACAGAGATCCATACTCTCTCTGGACAGACATGGACAATAAACCGCTGCACTGAGTCTCTCCGCTCCCTCTGCTCTTTCTCTGTAGGTACAACAGGCTCCTGGAGGTGATTGCTCAGACACTGAAGGATTTGCTGAAAGCTCTCAAGGGCCTGGTCATGATGTCCTCTCAGCTGGAGCTGATGGCCATCAGCTTGTACAACAACGCTGTCCCCGAGATGTGGAATGCCAAGGTACGTGCCCCGGACAGCCCAGCTGCCTGCAGGAGCTCGCCCAAACCAGGGGAATGGGTCATCAACCAGCACAGCTGGACTGGGCTGTCTCAGGGGGAGCCGTCTCCTGCCTGGTGCAGCTCGCAGTTGTTTCCAGCCCCACGCTGGATGAATCCCTGGGCTGTGGGCAGCTATCAGCAACTGGGGCACAAGCTCTAGGGTGTCCTTGATTGCATTCAACTCTGTGGGTGCCCCGCAGGCCTACCCGTCACTGAAGCCCTTGGCATCGTGGGTGAACGACTTGGTGCAGCGGATTGAATTCCTGCAGAAATGGATCAGCCATGGGATCCCCTCTGTGTTCTGGATCAGCGGGTTCTTCTTCCCCCAGGCTTTCCTCACCGGGACACTGCAGAACTTCGCCAGGAAGTCTGTCACCTCCATCGACACCATCTCATTTAGCTTCAAGGTCAGTTACTAAGCCAGAGGCTCTGCATTTTTCTGGATTTTTTTGGAATCTGCTGCTAGAACTGCTGCCTTTGTGGCCCTCTAGCCCTGACCTGCACAAGGGGTGAAGCCACTAGCTGCACAGCTGCCCCGTGGACCCCCATCATCCCCTTTGTGCTCGGATACACCCACCCACACTGCCAGACACCTCCACAAGGCAAGCAGAGGCTCCTCCCTCTCCAGACCTGCTCACATCCCCCTCCACAGGCTTTGCCACAGGCTGCCCCACAGCCTCATGGTGTGAGATGCCAGAAAACCCAGCCTAGCCCATCTGAGAGCTGGGGCAGGCTCCCCTGTGGCAGCGCTGACTTAACTGAGAGCAGCTCAAGGGGGTCCTTGGGGCTGAGCCTCCAGGGACAGGCCTTGATCAGGGCCCTGGGCCTGCTCTCCTCTGCAGGTAATGAAGGAGTCGGTGAGCGAGCTCGCTCACCCTCCCAACGAAGGCTGCTACATCCACGGCTTGTTTCTTGAAGGCGCCCGCTGGGACCCCGCTGCGTTTCAGCTAGCAGAGTCGCGCCCCAAGGAGCTTTACACAGAGATGGCCGTCATCTGGCTGCTTCCTGTCCCCAACCGCAAGCCTCCAGCCACTGGCACCTACCTGTGCCCCATCTATAAGACTCTCACTCGTGCAGGTAGATGCCCTAAAGACGTATCTCCAGAAGCAAGGGAGATTGTAGAAGCAGCCAGGAAGGGCAGCCCAGGAGAGGCTGCAGGGGTTCCTCGTGCCACACATGGGCATGGAGAGAGGCACCGTTAGCTGAGCCCAGCCAGGGAGAAAAAGATTTCTCCTGCTGTGGTTGTGGAGACGGAGCAGCCAGGCACCGGCCAGCTGTGCAGCAGTGCCTCTGGCCTGGCTCTCCTCAAGCCCACACCTGAAAATACACAAGCCTGTTTCCCCCAGCCCTGCTCAGCCTGTCACCTAACACAGGGATGGGACAGGGGATCTCACATGGGGCCACTTGGATGGGACTCCCAGGTCACTGTGCAGCAGCCAGGGCTGCAGTACCACCCTCTTGCCTTTGCTTCCCCCATTACAGGCACGCTGTCAACGACGGGCCACTCCACCAACTATGTGATTGCTGTGGAGATCCCTACAGACAAGCCACAGAAGCACTGGATCAAACGGGGCACAGCCTTGATCTGTGCCCTGGACTTCTAGGCAGAAAATCCATCCAGTCTAGGAAACCATCCCAGCTGAGGGCCTGAGACCGGACCTCCACCATCCTGCACAGAGGTAGGCAGCAGGAGCCAAGTGCTGACTGCCAGCAGCTGCTCCCCCTCTCTTCCTGCCCTCAAGTTGTGTCAATAAATTGAGTTTGACTCCACCAGCATCACGTTCACCTGGTGTTGGTGCAATCACAACTACAAGTTTTTAGTACCACAGAAGAGCTGCCAGCAGGGACAATGTGGCCCAGAGCAACCACTCAGTGCTCCCAGCTGCACATGCACCCCTCTCCCTTCCCTCACACACCTCTCCCTTGGCTGGCTGTTACAGGATAGCTTTATTCCTTCAGACAGATCCATTATTTACAGAACTTGATAGTAGACACAGCAAGAGACAGAAGGATTTTCTTCCCTTCAACAAATACGGAAAGAACAGTTTCATTCCATGGTCAAGATCTGTACAAATTTGCACATTTGCAAAATTCAGTCCTCTCCTGTGGCAGCTCCCCCTGGCCCAGCTATGCCTCAGGATATCTCTGGAGAGAGGTGCTGACCTCTGGTTTCAGAGATGTCTGCTGGGGACAGGCAGGTGATGACCATGTGCAGGACGGCTGGCAGGAGGTGGCAGGTGAGCGGCAGGCCAGACCCGCATGCTGCAGTAGGAAAGAGGCCGCTGCCCGCACCAGCAAGCTCTGGGTTAGCAGCCAGCGAGCGGCTTTGGGCTCCCTCCACTGCCTCTGCCTGCCACTGCAGTCCCCATCTCACCTTGAGCATTACAGCAACCAGTCACCTCTCCCCACGCTGAAAGACTTGGCCAGGGGCACCAAGTGACTCCACACCCAGCATCCACCCTGGTGCCGTGCCCAGCAGCACTGAGGCCACCCCATGAACTTGGTCTGTTCATAATTCACGGGGTTTCTCTGGGGACTGGGCCTGGAGCAACACCGCGTGACCCACAAGCACTGCCAGGGCCACAGAGCTGCTCCCCAGGAAAGCAGCTGTGGCAGCAGAGCCACGCGCCGCCCCCCAGCACCACCACAGAGGGTTGGGCGCAAGGCCCAGCTCAGGGATGAGCCCACCCATCCTCACCTGGCAGCAGAGCTGCCAAGGCCCACCAGGCAGCCTGCCTGCGCTGGCAGGGGGTGCTGCCATCCCCAGAGCAGTGAGGGCAGGGCAAGGCAGGACTGCCCGGCCACGCGTCGGCCAGCTCTGGGAGCTGGGCAGCGAGCCGGGGGTGGATGCAGAACGGGCTCGGGAGCCGCCTCGCTCAGCACTGGCCAAAGCATGGGTCAGAACCAAAAATAAATTTGGGGAAGGGAGAGAAAGGGATAGAAAACACAGACACAAATGTCCTGGGGAAGAGCAGAGCTGAAGGCCTGGACGCAGGAGGACACAAGCCACAGCCAGCTGCGGCCAGCACAGTCTTGCGTCGGCATTGCCGGTATTCCCACAACGCCAGACCTGCCATGAGCCGGGTGGGCTCTGCCCCTCCTACCGCAGTCCTCAGCCACAGTGCCAAGACACAGGCCCACGGCTGCTGTGGCCCGGTCAGGCAGCTGGGCACTCCGGCTTGCCTTCTGCTGCAGCTGCAGGGACTCCCCTCAAGACAACACGTTTCCACCTTTCACAACGCGGGCTGAGAGGAAAACCCGATTTCTCTTTGTCCCCAGGCTCCACCTCGGGGCCAAGGGCTTGTCACTGTGGTCCCTCTTCCTAGGGCAAAGGGTAACATAGATCCAACTGCCACTGCCCAAAGCCACAAAGCCCAGCTGCTGCTTCTCACAGTCCTGACTCCCAGGCTACTGACGCTTGGCTTTATATGGGCGGGAGCGTTTCCGGCGGTCCGGCTTCCTCTGCTTGTGCAGACGGCCGATGCTGACTCCCTGCCGCCTGCGGACCGAGATGTTCTGCTCCACGAGGCTTGCCAGCATGCCTGCAGGGGGAGAGGCAGACAGACATGCCCCACGCTGGAGTGCTGGTATTGCCCATGCCAGAGTGCAGCCCTCCCTCTCTCGCCCAAAACCCATCAGTGGGCTCCTCCTGGGACTGTAAAATCAGAAGGACACAGAGCGGAGACATGGCTCCCCAGACTGTGCGCTACCCCATGCCCCGGGTCTGGCAGAAGCAGAGATCAGGGCAGGGTGAGCTTCCCAGGCTCCCAGGTGCTGCTCTGCCACCATGCAGCTCCCCCAGCTGAATCTGAGCCCCACGCTCCATCCCCTCAGCTGCACAGCACGGCTCACCTTCCTGGGCCAGCATGGAGATGAAGGTACAGATGAACTCGTCATAGTTGTGGGTTCTCCTCTGGTCATCGATCTGCAAAGAGATGACAAATCCACAAACAGGTGGCAGAGAGAAAGGGGAGTTCAAGGCTAACAGGGCAAAGAACCAGTATGCCTGGCCCATCCCACAGGCCAAGAAGACCAGAGCGGGAAGGGACCCAGCTCTCAGCCCAGCTCAGGCCAGAGCACAACTGGGATGGTCTTCCACAAAGGGCAGCTGGGAAGAGGCAAGGGTGGGCAGGGAAGGAGTCCTGCCAGGCCTGAGGGCAGAGACTCCCCACTTCCTCCTGTCAGTGCTGATGTTCAGTTGTGGCCCAGCTGCAGTATTCCACCATCCTCCTCAAGCTCATTAGTGCTGCCCAGGGGATTCGGTCTGTCCTGGCAGGAGCTCTGTCCCATAGGGCTGTTTGGTAATGGGAAAGGGACCCCAAATGCTCCCCATGGCTGTTCTCAGCTGAAACACCCTCCCTCCACTTTGACATAAAGACACCGCAGACAGAAGCTTTCAGGGAGCTAAATCAGCAATGCAAACAAGCCATCAACAAACATACCTTGAATTTCTTCCTCTTCTCCACCTCTTCCTTCAGGCAGGCCTCGTAGTTCGCAATCTCTGCCTCCACGCACTTCAGTAGTGCCAGCAGCTCCTGCCAGGATCAAGCAGAGCAAACATGAGTGCACAGACACTTGCCACAGCCCAGGAGCCAGCAGGGTGAGCTGGTGGGTGCTCCTCTCTGTGCTGGGAAAAGGAGGATTCATCAAAGCAAAAAACACTTGCCCGGGGGCAAGGGAGAAGAACAGTTTGTTGTAGGGAATTTCTGAGTCAGAGGGTGATCAATCAGCCAGCACTATGGCCAGCCCCAGAGGAGTTGGGTTCTGCCCAAGCCTGGCCCAGCCCCATGTACCTAGTTCTCTGGGACAGAGGGAAGGGTTGCGTGCATGCCTGAGAAACACCCCAGGGCCTGGTTCTTCTCAATAACAAAATTTGAAGACTTCCCTTTTGAGTACAAGTTTCTAGCCAGCTCTCCTCCAGGGAACCCCAGTTCGCTTATGCCGCCCGGGCCTGCTCCTGTCTCTGGCTGGAGCGCAGAGACAGGCAGTAAAGTTATCAGCAGGATGGGATTTGGGGTCGCGGGGTCCCACCAGCCCCTGGCCCAAAGGAGAGCACAGCACGCCAAACGTCTCAGCTGTAGGAGACAGCGGCTCTGCCCACTGTCAAGGCAAGTGTCCCCGAGATGACGCAAGGCACAAAACCTGCACTGCCCTGTGCCTCGAGGGATGGCTGCGGCGACACGCGAGCGGGACAGCGTGCACATGCGGTTCGGTCACTGCCAGCGCTGCTGCGTCTCTGGGTGAGCGCAGGGAGCTCCACGTTCCCAGGGCTGTCGCAGCACAAAACTCACCTTGGGAGAATACTTTTCCCCCCCAGGGTGATCACTGGTCCTGCCAAGTCCCACCTTCTCTTTGCTGTCACTGGCCTCACTGCCCTCCTTCTCGTCCAGTTTGATTGCGACCGGGGCCTCTTCACCGGGTTTGATGGAAGGGGGGGAGCTCTTCCCCCCATCTGCACCCAGGGGAAGGAAGTGTTAGGAGCCATCGCAAAGGACCGGTATCCACTCCAGAAGTCAAAGGACACTGTCCCATCACCGCAGGGGAGATGCCACCCCCCCCAAAACCTAGCAGTCACCCACCTGCAACAGCCAGCGGGCAGAACACGCCATCCTCCGTGAGGTGCAGCAGCCCGGTGCTGATAACAGGCCCCAGGTCCCTGACGGCCCGGTTGTAGCGCATGCAGTCAACGCGCAGCAGGCCGTCCTCCTCGCCAAAGAGCACCTTGGAGATGTGGGAGGTGACAGGGCTGGAGGGGCGGGTGGGGTTGGCCGAGCGGATGGGAGAGCGCAGCGGGGAGTTGAAGGCGCTGCCAATCTCGGAGGCAGTGTCCGTGCTCTCATTGCTCGGGGTGGGAGAGGGCTGGGAGTGGGTGACCACCGCCACGGCGGCGCCTCCGCCGCTCGTCTTGATGGACAGAGGAATGGAAAGGTCCTTTTGAGATTCCTTCAGCTTCTCAGCCAGGACGTTGATGGTGTTGGGCTGGAGGACGGAGAGCTGGCCATCCACAGCCCCTGTCACGTGCTCTTGCTTTACCTGCCCTTTCCTTTTGTACCTGCCCAGGAACACAGCAGGGAAGGTGAGTAGCTGATGGAAGGAGGTGGGGGCCCAGCGCAGGCACTGCCAGCTCCACAATCACTCCAGGCTGTCTGCTGGGATGAAGCAAGGCCTGAAACATTTCTAGGTCGCCCCCACCGCCACCAGCACCCCACCTCACTGAATCGCTCAGCTACAGGTACTCTTAGACAGCTGGGGTACCTTCCAAAAGGGTGCTGCGTACCCCTGCTTTTCTTCCAGAAGCCCCAAGAGCAGCCTCACTGTGACCCCACCTTCCTGACCTTCACAGCAGCCTGAGCATGCCAACACTGTCACCAGGGGCTGATTTGGCAGTCGGCACTGGGGAACTGAGGTTCATTTTGGAGAAATGAAGCCCCCCAGACAGGGCACACCACGTTTCCTTGACCACCAGGCTCCCTTCAATGCAGCGCAGCCAGCCTCTGCCCTCCAACCACACAATACAGCGATTTATCAGCTACCAGGTGACCTTCTGCAGGTCAGGCTCCACCACCCACGCAGCCACCAGTGGCACTAGAAAAGCCCTAGCAAGAGGGAGCTATGGAGGAGCCCCCCAGAGCTGGGCTATCCCATTTATTTGGGAACATTTGGAAAAGGAGGGAAAGCAGAGAAGCCCCAAAGTTTGCTGCCGATACACAGTTACTCACGGCAACCAAAATTCAGGGTTGATTGCGAGGAGCTACAGAAGGGCTTCACAAAATCCAGCAAGTGAACAGTAAAATAGCAGGCCAAGAGAACAGCCCTAATTGCACACACAGGCACGGGTTCTAACACAGCTAACAGCGCTCGGGAACGACATCTGGAAGTCACCGCTGGTGGTTCTGCAAATGTCTGCTCCCTGCCCCTCGCCCTCAGATCAAGCTGTCACCTGATGGCTGAGTTGGTGTTACGAACTTCCTCCTCTTCATCATCATCGTAGTCATCCTCATCGTCCGAGTACTGCTGGTGCTGTCGGACTGGGACCCGGCTGCGACCCACTCCTGCCGCAAGGTCTTCCTCCTCCTGCAAAACACCATTGCTGATGGCCTGCCAGCAGCGGGGCAAGGAGGAAGAGCCCAGTGGACACATCCTCGGTCCAGCTGAGCACCAGGGTTTGCTCCTTCCAAGAGGAGACAGGGAACTACTCCCTGTGCTTGCTCAGTTGACGCACATTAATGCTAACCTCTTTTGCCAGGTCAGTCTTTACCCTCTCACCTTCCAGCCTGGGTTAGTGCAAGGGTAGGCAGGCTGCAAGGCAGGGGAAGGGCTTAGACTGGCTGACAGCCATAGTCCCATGGAGGTGAAGGACTGGAATTGAAAAGTTCGGCTCAAGTCAGGCATGCTGCTGGCCTGGAGCTCCAGCCTACCTGCATGGGGGATTTGGCGTAGTTGTGATTATCCAGGAAGGCTGGCAACCTCTGCACAATGGGGTTGGGGTTTGCTGGAGGCACCCCGTTGATACTGCTCACTGACGTCTTTGCTACCAGTTTGGATTTGTTGGGTGGGCTCTGCGTGGCTGCAGGGTGGCCCTGGCTGGTGTGCTCATCAGTGCCATCTGCCATACAAACACAGCATAGCCTTTCATGACCAGCACCATCACATTTTACTCAATGTCCTCTGCCACCCCTTGCCCACCCCGTGTAGCAGAAGAGCTCTTACGCTCCACTAGACCATCATACCCACTTCCCATTCCACCTCCAGCTGTCACAAGTGTCCCCAAGCTTAAGCCCTCCCATTTTCAAGCTCCACATCCCTCCAACACTTCCCACAGGCACAGAGGTATCTACCACACCCCAGCACAGTGTGCACAGAGCTGGGCTTTGAGAAAAGAAAGTGAAGCTGATCATAAAACTCCCTCAAGATCCAGGTCAGCCAGCCATCATCACCAGCCTGTGCTCGCTCCACAGCAGGCCAGGCTGGCTGGCTGGCAACACCACTGGTACAGGCGTCTACCTGGGTGGGTGCTCTCTGGAGTCACAGTCTTGCTGATGGCTGGCTTTGCCTCTTCCAGAGTCTGAGACTCCTGAGACTTCTGGGTCTGGATCAGCTCAGGCTGAGTTACTCGGATAAGCTTGAAGGCAAATGACAGACAGAAACTGAGTGCTAGACCACAGTGACCCAAACCATATTCCTCCTGTTCAAGCACTCCAGAAGGAGAACTTGTGAGAGTGAGCCAACCTCCGAGCACCCATGTACACACCACAGATAACCAGCCTCGCTGCTTGGCCTTTTGCTGCTCACCTGGGAGGTTATCTCCTCTTCCCAGAAGACATTTCCCAAGGCCAAAAAACCCCATAAAATCCAGGGCCTTTACAGCACAGGGTGATGCCCTGACAGCTGAGCCTATTCGCACCCCGGGCTTGCACTCTCTCAGGGCTTGGGCTGTCCTACCTGCTGCAAGGCCTCCAGCACAGTCTGGCGGTTCATCTTCAGGATGTGCAGTTTGGACTCGTACTTCATCCTCCTATCAGGAACCACCGCCATCAGGTTGAAGCGGATGTCGTGGTACGGCTCCCTGCAGGAAGGGACAGCAGACATCAGCTGCGAGCTGACGGTGGAAAGCCCGTCTCCCAGCAAGGCGGGGTGAGCAGGCTGCCAGCCATACCCCACACACCTCCTGCGGGTTCCTTCCAGGCAGCGCCTCCCCTGCCCTGGCATTTAACACCAACACACGGGAGGCTTTTCCCCCAAAACCAAGCCAACACTGGCTGAAGAAACAGAGCAAGGTTACTTCAGCCACAACGTGAAACATCCTTCAGAGAGTCACAGGTTGGTTGAGGTGGGAAGGGACCTGTGGAGGTCATCTGCTCTAATGCCCTGCTCCAGCAAGGTCACCCACGGCTGGCTGCCCAGGACCATATCCAGATGGCTTTTGAGTATCTCCAAGGATGGAGACTCCACAACCTCTCTGAGCAACCTGTGCCAGTCAGTGCTCACTCACCCTCATGCCCAAGGATCCAAGAGGCGAGCTCAGGACCAGAAGCACCATTCCTTCTCCTACGGACTCAAGCTAACAGGGACCTAATCTGGCCACTCTTACCTGCATGGCCATTTGCAGGGACTCTGCATCGCACAGAGAGTGTGGCTTCTCTGCGTGCTCTGAAGGCAGGCAAATTGCAGGCAAGAGAAGGCAAGGAGGCAGTACACCTGCACCCTTCCCAAGCAACATTCTCCACCCCCACTTCCACAACTTGTCGCACAGAGACCACAGTAGAAATAATCTAGGGAAAAATGGTGAGGGGACAGTGCCTGCACCACGGCCTGGGACCTTACCCTGCAGTAGCCAGGCCAATGCGCTCCATGATTACTCTCCTGGCTTTGTCCGTCCATTCCTCGTCATCAGCCCATGGCCCTGTGATAAGGAGACAGAGCTGGACTTAGGAAAGCAGGCCCAGGTTCCTGCTTCAGACTCACAGAGTGGATCCTGCCATCCCCACGACAGGCAATCTCATGGCTCCCTTTACATACCAGGGAGCAAGTCAAGAAGGGGCCCAGGAGGCAGAAGGACCACGCTGTCAACCCATACATGGAACCCCCTGCCCCTGCCTTCCAAATGGAAAATATGAGTTATCTGCAAGGCAGAAAGGTGAGTTTTGAACCCTGCAGACCACAAGCAATTCAGAGGCTCCAGGCTCACAAAGTCCAAGGAAATCCCAGCCCCTGCTGGAATCCATCTGCTGCCGGATCTGGTGTCATGCTTAAGAAACCCAAGTACACGAAGTGGGTACCTTACCAAAGGGCCTGACAGAAGCAAAGTCCTAGCAGGGATAAATAAGTGTCTGAAAGACAGAACTAGTGGTCAAGTTGTAAAAGAAGGGAATAACCTGAACAGCCTGCCAGGATCTGCGTTGGGACCTTGTGCCTCAACACACACTGGTTATTTGGCACAAGGAGAGGGTAAGGAGGACACAAATCCTGCTTGCGATACCGAGTTATTTCAGGGCTGCAGAAGGACCTCACGACCCTGAGCAACTGGGGATGAAAATGGCAAGGCTGGAAAAAACAATGCAATGCATTTAGAAATGATTGCCTTCTAGACACAGTCCCCAATGCATAGGCTCCAAAATGAGCTATCAAAACTCAGGACAAAACTGTGAGCCACTGGAACGATTCTCCACAAACATTAGCTAATGCTTAGTGGCAGTGAAAAGTAATACATACATTTGGACATACCAGGGTGTCTATGCGACTGTGTCAACAAGTAGGGACAGGCAGGCTCTTACCGTGGTCAATGGGATAGACCTTCAGCCCATCCAGCTCAAACAGCCGTCCCTTGATGGGGACATAACTGACAAAATGAAAAGCCTCCATGGTTCGCACAGCGCTGATACCGTTCTGCTTTTCTGGCAAGTGCCGTGGCTCCGGCCTGCAAGGGGAAGAAAGGCGAGAGGTCAGTGGAGAGTCTGCCTCCTCCAGCGAAAGTGAGCTGCGAGACACCCTGTCACTCACCTGGCATGGCTGTTATGGGCCTTGGCCAGCTCTGGGGCGTTGCCGATGGCATAGCCTTTACTCTGCAGCAAAGAGCAAGAGAGGAAAACAATTGAGAAGTGACAGGAAACAAACAAAATGCTTCACCCACCGGCTCCCCACTCCCTCCCTCGATCCATACACAGGACTGGGAGAGCAACTTTCAGGCACATCCTCTGCTCTGCTGAGTTACAGGTAAAACCCAAGATGAAAAGAATACACAATTTCTGCTAAAGAAATTACAGTCAGAGAGAAACACAGACTTCAAGATAGGTCTGAAGGTAGGAGAGAGGACTTTTGATCACAGACCTAGAGAGTGCTATTCCCTGGGCTAGGGAACACAACAGAAGGCTCAGAGCTGTGCCCAGTGTAAGGGGAGCGAGGCTCTGAGCAAGGCAAGGTAGGAAGGCGAGAGAGATGAGGCAATACTGACGCAGCGTACAGCCACGAAGGGCTGGAAAGGAGCCAGCTCACTAGAGCATCATCCTGCGAGGGGAGCGAGAGGCAGATTCACATGCGCCACCCGCACACAGCCCTGCACACCTCTGCCCCTACCTCAGGGCTGAATCCTTTGGTGAAATCCTTCATGCGGCTCAGCGTGGGGCCCAGGTCAACATTGTTGCAGTTCAGGAGGACGCTCAGCAGGGCATGGGTGGCACAGGAATTGGGGATCAGCTGGAGGGTGACACAAGGACCATCTTAACCAGCAGGAACAAGGCAACCCTTCAACAACCCCTCAAAGTCGACAATAATCAATTGAAAAGTACTGACGCAAGAACCACTTGTGAGAGCAGCGACTTGACCTCGGCTCTCAAAGGAAGGAAGGAGGTCAGTCTCATTTAGCGAGCCACACCATGCTCCCGTGAGCATCTGCTCACAGCGCAGGCCGCAGACAGGCTCACAGCCCTCACTGGATTCTCTCCAACCTGGAGCTCAGGGCAGAGGCTCCCAGGAAAGAGGAGCTGCCCTCAGGACCAGCAAGAGCAGCGCAGCCTCTCAGTACCACGTTGCTTCCCTGAGGCGTCACACGAGACACCACCCCACCCCTCTTTCCCCTCGCCTCCAGGCTACCTGGTGAGCAAAGAACATGTTATTAACGATGTCATCGTCGATCACCGATGTCTCATCCACCAGGGTAGAGACCTTCCGGCGTGATCTGCGCTCCTCAATCCACTTGAACAGGAAGATGAACCCATACACAGGGCTGTGGAGAGAAGGCAGCAGCTGCACCATTTTGGATGGACCACACCAGTGTGGCTGCTCTGCCCAGCACCAGAAACCTTCTGTTTCAAACCGCAGGCAGAGCAAAGACAGGGAGGGAAAGCAGAACCACCAGCCTCATCTTTCTGGAAGTGACCATCCCTGTTACCCAGGACACTCTTCCACTGATGCTCCAGGCTCAGGCAACAATCAAGCTTGAAAACTTTGGGGTTTAACAGGTCTTAAGGGGCTCAAGACAGAGAAACAGGAGGTGAAATCCACCTCCAGACACTGACTGACCTGCAGAATAGTGTCTGACCACCAAATGACCCCTCCTTTTATACATACGTTGTCTTCATTTTCAAGAGGATATCAGACAATGGCTTTTAAGAAAGAGACAGTCTCAGAGCCATTTTAGAACACTGAGACAGGGAGAAACCCCACACTGCAAGCATGCTGGCTTGGCACTGCACCTCTCCATGAGGAAAGGGAGATGAATCCCCAGAAGCATGTACCCCACCCGCCCCACAAAGTCTTTCTTAAGGCATGAGATCACCCATCTACCCCATACCTGATGATGCGCTCCTGGTTCATCACTTACAACACTGACCAACGAGCTCACACAGGCCCTTCTGGCGATGAGTTCCTGGGCCCGCACTTCTGCTTAACAGAACTCAAACTTTCACACCTGTGACTTACCCTTGGCATTTGCTCTGCAGATCATAAATCTCTTCAACCTGTACTCCCTTGACCCCTGTAAACAAAGGGCAGAAGCTGGTGTAAAGCCCACCAAAAAGGACTAGGGGTAATGTCAAGCATGAAAATGACTTCCCAAGAGGGCTTCTTGTACTCACCAAAATCTTCAACCAGGAGTGTGAAGAGACCTGAAAAGGAACAAACCCAAATGGTTACTTCTGGCTGAAAAGAGGAGAAAGGAAACCTGCTGCTGCCGGCCCCCGAAGGTCCCGTGTGGTCCCAGGCCAAGGTGCAGCCAGAAAAACTGCAGCAGAGCAGCACCAGGATCACACTGACTCCCCAGCAGCAGAGCTGTTGAGCCCTGGCTCACTACGGAGGTGGTCTGGCTCCCTTCTTCACCTCAGTCCCCATTCATCTTCCTCTTCCTCGAGAGGACCTGAACCAACCCTCTCCTGCTGGAGCCAGATGAAGCTGGACCCACCTTCAGCATCCTGAACCACTGCAGATGACCTGCCAAGAAGTAAATCCCCACCACGAACAGCAGCAGGGGGCACCTAAATGACACACGCTCTTCTAAGTGAAGGGAAACATGGCTGAATAGACCACAAGATATTTTTAAAAAAGATCATTTGTCTTCTTGTTAGCAAAAGACAGACAGTGAAGGGAAAGCCAGCTCAGAGCAACAGGGCTGCAGGGGAATCCGAGGGCCGAAAGGCTCATCTTCAGCCCAATTTTCAGGCAGTCCCCCCCCCTCCGGAGTTAGCGAGCTCGAGACTGGAATAATAAATCTGCTTCTTTTGCTCCCATATAAAGGCTGCTGAAAGCCTGGGAGGAAGTCCAAGGAATATCAATAAGAAGGATTCAATCCCAAGAAACATCCCTGTAAGCAAAGGATTTAAGGAACCTGATATAAGTGGCTCAGTCAAGAAGGGAAGAGCCTAAGGGGCTTCCACACCAAAGTTAAAATGACTAAAACAGGGAGGAAACTTCTGGGAGCAAAAAGCTGTCATTAATTTAGCAGAAAGCATGGTATTTCTTACAAAATTGGCAATGGGAAGAAACATGCTATGGAAATAACATGCTTTGAACCAGTGACAGCCTCCTCGCCATGCAACACCGTTACACCAAACCCCAGCACCTTTCTGACAGAGATGTTTTTGCTCAAAATACTTGACACTGTGGAAGGCTGTGTCACACAGGTGACATCTACAGAGACTTCAGGCAGCGCCGCACCTCACTGCCTTCTTTGCAGCAACCTGCTTAGGGCAAGCAGTCCTTGCAGACCATAAGGGTCTTCAGATGCTCATTACAGACATGGTTCTTGTTCCCTCTTTAGATGGCATCTGTTAAGGAAGTGGGTAGAGTCTCTCAACTGTAAACGCTTCCACAAAAGTCAAAAGCCTCATTCACTCTCCAATTTCAAGTTACAGTCTACTGATTACAGCAAAACACATGCGACGCGAGACACGAACCGTATCACAAGCTCTGCCTCGCAGCCAGCAAAGATTTGCATCAGAGCAAAGCCTTGCAAATACAAACAACTGTAAATGCCAAAAGCAGCACTGCTCCCGCAGGTACCACCACAAGAAGACCAAGCAGGACCCCCAAGCTTGCTGTGGCTCAGCCCGGAGCGCTCCCACGTCTCCGCAACAGGTCCTCTCCAGGACCATGTGTCAGACTGGCAGGGCTGCACTGAAGGAGATGGGAGGAAAACACACGATGCCTGACTTCCCATCTGATCAACATCACCAGGGAGTCAGAGAGAGGATGAAGCCAAACTTTTCCAAGTGCACCGTGAAAGGACAAGAAGTGATGGGAACAAACTGTAGCAAGAGAAATTCTGACTACACATCCAGAAAAAAGCAATTCTTTGCAACCAGCGTGGTCAGCCCTGGGACCAGGGCACAGAAATCTCCTTCTTGGGCATATTCAAACTCAACCAGACAAGGCCATGAGCGCTTGAACTACCTTTGAAATTAGCTCTGCTTTGGGCCAAAGACTTCTAGGGGTCCCTTCCAACTGCAGTTTTTCTCCAGTTCATTTCAGTATTTTGTACTACCTCAGCATCCATGAAAGGCATAGTCCTGCTGCTGCCATCACTCCTGGAACACGCAAAACCCTCATCCCAAACTATTTGGGTTGGCTGGAGGAAAGCATTCTGGTGTCCACAAGCACACGCAACGCTACGCCAGCAGCCTGGAAGTTCCCAAGGCTCCCCTCTCCGCCCAGCAGCCACGGCAGACAGTCCAAATCTGGATCTACTGACCCTTCCTGACCAGTAAAGACTGAGAGCTTTCAGTCTCAAGCCCCGTGGTGAGGGCCAGGCAGCTTATAGGATGTGCTGAAGGTCAAGAGCAGCGCGTGGTCATTCCTAACCGCTGTCCCAGCTCCCACCTCTGCTTCCAAACCTCCACACACCCAAAGGAGTGCAGCTGTGGCATGTTGCATGCCCGCCTCTGCAGCAGTATTAGGGCAGGAATTCAGCCCAGACAGATTATCTTCCAAGGAAACAACCTTCCCTCCCAAGTGTGAGAATCCAAACCAAGTCCTGTCTTCAGCACCATCGTGATGAAGAAGAAGGGGGAGGATTAGAATGATTTTGGGAATTCCCAAGTACCGGTAAAGAGAGGATAAAGAGCAGGAAAAGCTGGGCTGACTGGGAGACCGATGGCAGACAGAATCCTTCCCTGAGTGTAGCAAGACTAGTATAATGCCAGGGGTCCAATGTTCTCACCCACAGCCTCAGAAATACACGACCACACCCTAAACACCAGCTCTCAGCCTCCCAGAGGACAACCCCAAATCGCACTGTGGCAACTCAGACACGTTAAAACAATGCTGAGCCAATGCCCCAGCCAAAGCTGGCTTTGGCCCTCAAATCCTAACCCGCAAAATAAACTCCAGGACTCCACCACAGAAACCACCTTCTCCAACACAGCGGGAAGGGAACACCCATGACCATCCTGCTCCTGGCTGCTCAGGCACCATACCGGGCTCTTCAGCACCCTTCCTGGGCTACCTGGCAGGGAGAGGGTTTGATCCACCCGCTCAGCAGCAAAGCGACGACAGGATCTCACACACACGGGACAGAGATGCCACCCTCACGGGCTCCCGAGTGATACAGGTTGTCCTCAATTGCCTGCAAAGCTCTGGGGCAATTACCAGTCAGAGATGGTTCTGTAGTAAGGGGCATCCCATATGCATGCCTCTCCCTGTGTTTCAGTGATATTTCGGGGTGTATTTGCAAATGACAGGAATGCTTCATGCTACACTTTCATGGCATTTCAGATGTTTTCCACAGAGACCCCTAGGTTTATCAGATCGCACACACACAAAGGTGTCTGGGTCACCTCAGGCCCCAGGTACAAGTGCTACCAGAGGCCAGGACCCACTCTGAGCCCTCACAATGCTTCCGCAGCCCTATTCACCTCATCCCTGCCCCCATCCCACACCCGCACCCCTACATGCAGCCACCTGACACCCCCTCTTCTGTCTGCCCTACACCCTCATAACCTTTCCTTAAGTCCTCCATAAACCCCCCTGGGCTATGTCCCATACACCGTGACCCCACACAGCCCCACTTCCCCCAGGACCTACATTACTCCTGCCCCACCCAGCCTTACACCCTCACCTGCCCTCCCAACCCTCTGCCCGCGCCGCGGG